CCAGAAGCTGGAATTCAGAGGCATTATGCCTCTGGAGGTAGAACTTAGTAATTGTGGCTACTTGGTAATGATAGCCTTGTCTTCCACAATAGCACTGACATCGAACAGGGGCTGCATTAAATCTAGCTTTCTGGTGAGCAAATGATTTATTTAACAAAACTTGTATGCTGTTTAACTGTAAATAAAACTGAGCAGTTTACAAAAAAAAGTTGACCAAATTAGCAATGTTATTGCAGGCATCAAACTAGGGCTAGTTATGTGTAGTCCCAGCAGCTGTAGGCATGTAGCATTAGAATGGGGGCATTTTGGGCGGCAAAAAAAGTAAAATGGCCACAGCTTTGATTTCCAGAGGATTAAAATGGTGGGTCAATTAAAAATGGAAGTCATAAAATCAAAAATGTCTTTGTAAGTGAAAGCACCTTCCTGTATCTTGTACCCTTCCATTTTTAAACTGGCAGACACTAATAGCATGAGTATGTTTTGTGTTTGTCATATTTTTTCGAACATTTCCTTGAGTTGCTGAGAAAGCTGCAATAGGAAATGCAACACTTTCAGTTTTTTGGTTTGGCTTTTTATTACTCTGTTAAAATAAGCAACTCCACATTACCCCATTAATTTTCTGGGAGAGACAGATAATACCCGTTCCAAGCAAGTCACTTGTTGATCATTGCATAAATTGAAGTCTAGGAGCACCTTGTGTTATATGTTTGCCTAGATTTACAGAAAGTACTTCTTAATCTGCACTGCCACTTCTTTTTTGGATTGTTTCCATCAAAATTAGCTGCCAAATGACGATGGATTTTTCACTGTCAATGTAAAGGGGAAAGAACAATTTGAGTATCTTCCAGGGGAAATAGCATCTTTACTGTCTAACCATATATCCTGGTGCTTTTATATCTGTAACACCCAAGAAAACAAGAACATGACAGAGACAAGGGTGACAGGCAATTGAAACGTTAAAAAATGTTCATCCCCACACCCATGCCATACATTCAAGGTGCATTTAAACCACATGACTCCCCCCCCCCCCAAGAATCCTGAGTACTGTAGGTGATGGGAACTGTAGCTCTGTGAGCTCTCTGGTGGGATACCTGCCAGAATTTTGAAAAGGTTTTTTCCAGCAGGCTATAGCTTTAGAGGGGAAATTAATATCCTAATTCAAATGTGGGCAGGATTGTTCCTACAAGGGCACAGTGTCTGCAGATTAATCGATCTGCATAAGATTCAACAGAGCCCTGTTTTATCCCTTACCCCTCAGTCCATGCACATAGATGCAGATGGCAACAAGGGCAAGCCATTTAACGGGTGGTCTGGGGACATCTTGCATACCCTGCCCTCTTTCAGCCCTTTCCTGTGCAATTGGGTTCCACATTCAAGAATAAGGAAGGTTGAAAAATGCAGATTAAGAGGACAAAAATGTGAGCGTGCAATTTCTTGTAAATAGGAGGGAATTGCTTAAGAAATTTGCCTGTGAATTTTTCAGTTGCGTGTTGAGTCACAGTAGCCCCCCAATAATTCACACTTCACACATCAATTTTTGTTTAAGGTTTTTGGCATAATTTTTGGCCACAACTTTATTCAAATACAAAAAATGTGAGTGGTTGCTTAGGCATTGGTTATGACTATCTGTCCTTGCCCTCAGGGACAGAGCTGGCCTTCCGGACACCAGCGGAAGCCAGCGTGGGAAACAAGTATTGGGTGAGAAATAAAGCCGGGAACCAGACCATTACTTCTCACCCTCATGTTCCTGTGGGGCTTGCACGGCCCAAGTCCGACTCCGGGGACAAGGACGAAAGAATGGCAAGCCCCTGGATTTCCTTTAACGGAATTCCCATTCGCATCATTTGGAGGGTAGGCACTTACCCCTCCAAGCACCAATTTAACCAATGCCTAACCGCCAACCTTACAAGTTGTGACGATTTGCTACGTAGTAGGCAAAAAACCAAATGGCACCAGCCAATCAGCCAGATGGCAAAATTCCTACTAGGCCCCCGCACCAAGGCGGACGACCCCATGACAGGCAATAGCAAGGTCAAGCGAGCAAAACAAAAAACCACCCTATAAAAGGGCGGGAGGGCGGGTGATCCGATGCAAAACGGCCAAGAGGCCGTGCCAAAGTCTGGCCCCTGTATATATAGGCTCTGACCCCTCCTCCGCAATGGCAACAATAGTTAACCATTCAGCCAACGCCTATCAGATATTTAAGGGCAACAGCTCTTGCTAGGGAGAACACGCCTCTAGTTCAGCCCGCTTCAGATATTAAGGGGCCAGTTTGCTTGCATACTTTATATTCCAGAAACACTGCAGAGGTTGAAAAGGTTTAAGTTTTCATTGTTTTATTTACATGATAGTTTCATTTTGAAAACATATTTGGACGTTCCTCTTTTGGTTTTTAGTCACTTTTAAAAACAAATATATGCTTTCCCAAAACCACTTTACTCCTTCATAAGCTGAAAAAGCTTTATACTGTACAGTGGTACCTCGGGTTACATACGCTTCAGGTTACATACACTTCAGGTTACAGACTCCGCTAACCCAGAAATATTACCTCAGGTTAAGAACTTTGCTTCAGGATGAGAACAGAAATTGTGCAGCGGCGGCACAGCGGTGGCAGGAGGCCCCGTTAGCTAAAGTGGTGCTTCAGGTTAAGAACAGTTTCAGGTTAAGAAGAGACCTCCAGAACAAATTAAGTACTTAACCCGAGGTACCACTGTACTCTAAATCAGTGTTTCCAAACTTGGGTCCCCAGCTTTCATTTATACTACAACTCTCATCATCCCTGGCTACCAGGAGCAGTGGTCAGTGATAATGGGAGTTGTTGTCCAACAACAGCTGAGGACCCAAGTTTGAGAAACAGTGCTAAATAGCAGTAAAATATAGAATAAACAGGAAGCAAAGCTAAGATCTCTGCAACTACTCCTAGTGCTGCCTCTTTTATGCATCACTAAACATGCTCTGACACTAAAGGAGGCCGGGTTTTGAATTACAGTACAGCATTGCCAACAGGCAACATGAATAAGGAGCAGCAATGTATTAGTTTTATTCAAGCATGATCTTTAAAAATCATGGTACTGTGGCCCAAGGTGTAAAATGAATGTATGCATTATGCTCTCGGGTCATCCAAGTTAGGGAAACTGGAAACAGATGCAATGGAGCAGTGGTTGAATTAAAGAAGGGGTCCTTAATAAATTCCACATGTAGGGCTCCAGGTCTCTCCTTAGTTTTTAGCCAAATTGTGATCCCTCTCTGTACCTTCTAAAACGGGGGGCCATAAGAGGATTGAACTCCTTATGTAATTTAAGTACTGTACTGTAAATGAAGACAGGGCTCCTGTGCCTTTAATAAGGTCGTGGAAGCAGGAATCTCTGCAGCAGCTGGTGAAGATTGCATTGAAGGGATTAGAAAATCTGCAGCTGCTGAAATTCTCACTTCCACACAACTATCGGAGGTACAGGTAATGAAATACTGTGCTGCATTCCTTTTCTTTATTTTTCTTTATATTTGTAGGCTGTCTTTTGAGAGAACTTTTAAGAAACCCAAAAACCATTGTAGATTTAAAATTGGTGCAGTTTGAAAAGTTTGGTTTGGCACTGTGGTTCAAAATGGCACCCAGTCAAACAGGCAAAGAAAAACAAAAAACAAAACCCACTGCTTGATTTCAGGAACCATAACAAGGGTCATAGGAATAATAAATGATACAAATAAATAGACCAAGTCTTTTCATATCATTTATATATCACAAAAATAAATTTGAAGTAAATTGCATTAAGTATGAAACTTAATGTAATATTTGAAGATACCTGGGCTCTGCTGTCGCCCACTTCATGTTACACTTTGGTTCTGGCTGGAAAAAGCACATTCCTGCTGTGGGATATGTCCTTACAGTACAGTATTTCAGAATTAAGGGTACTGGTGAAAGACCTTATTCCTTAGTTCCTTCCCTCCCTATATTGGAGCATTAGAATTCACTTCAAATAGTCAATTTGACAGCAGTAAAATCATTTTTATTTTGTCATGACAAAATAATGGTACAGACACGCGTTGCCCGATGTCTGCCCCCCTCTGGGCTTGCCAGCCCTTTTTATACCCTCTGGGACGGATAATCATTTGATTTCCGAGAAAACATATGATTTGCGGGAAATGGTACAGAATTTAGCTTTCGTTTCTCCATATTTGGACTTCCTTGTTTCATGTATGTCCAGTCCCTCCCTCTGGGGTTACAATAACATCCATTCAACCTTGCTCTTTATCTTTTACCCGCCCAAGCCAGACATTCCTGAGATAGGCCTATTTTCACTGTAACATCTAAGCAAGAAAAAGCCTTGTTCTTCTGGCTGGTGAAAAACCTCCCCCCTTTGGAAAAACCTCCCCCCTTTGGGATAACATATGAGAGAGGAGAAAATGCCTTAAACAGTTTTTGGGATCATATAGAGGACAATATTCTAATGGCCCCTTCAGTGGTATGATTTAATCTAGTGCCCTATAGTACAGTATAGAATAGTGTGGCTTGAAGGATAGAAAAACAGAATTCCGTCTTTGCAAAAGTGGTAGCTGGGGAGGATAGCAGGAAAGGGAGGCAGCAGCTGAATGGAATGTGGAAGTGGGAGAGAAGGACTGGGATGTTGGAAGTTGTTTTTCTGGGCCTTAGAGCAGAGCTTAGAGTTTAAGTGGCCACCTTCTTTCCTTCATGGCCCCCTGGACACTGCCTTCACTTTTACTTTTACTGCATTCCATAGAATTTACCCTGGAGCCTTCGGTAAGGGATTGTTCTTAACTGTCAGTATTTACTATAAGCTGTCACTACTTAGTACACCACGGCTTGAGTCACTTTTAAGAATGGGAAATTTGCAGACTTAAGTCAACAATCCAGTTTACACACGTGTTGACTTCTTTCAAATGATTCATTTCAGACACCTTTAAATGTCAATCTATGTTTGTAATATACATAAGCAAAATTTGCCTCCTACATCCAACTTGGTTTTTTTTAATCTTTCTGGTAGGTAGAAGCTTATCTATTCATGGGGCTGAAAAGCGTGTGCAGATCTACCAGAGAAGAAGCACAGCAAGCCATCGCTTATCACAGCGCCCGTCTGTGGTTAGGCATTCTTCAGTCCCGCAAGTCAGAAGGTCAATAAAAATGGAGGCTTCATCTTCTGGATCTGATGGGAAGCCAATCACTCATCAGCCAGGTAACAATGTTTTCCTGATTGCTTTACACAAATGATACATGCTATGAAATGAATTCATAGCATCTGATCAAGCTTGCATGGAAATCAATCTATAAGCCAACATCCATAGATTGATGTTCACTTCGGCCTTTCTCCGTGTGCTTGTTCATAGCTGCGGTGGTTATCAGTAGTGTAGAGCAAGTTTGGGAATTTTAGAAACGAAGAGATATTTCACAGCTTTTAAGATTTCTGCTCATAAAATCACCATCAAGCATACTTACCCAATCTGCTACTTGCTATTTTTAGACACTTAAAGTATGCCAGTATCAGAGTTACCACTGTAGTGTTACTTTCTCCAAACTCTCTTTTCAGTACAAACAAAATACTTTATTTCCTGCATACCAGGAAAAGCCTGCATTTATCAAAAGTACTAATAGAATCAGCTCTCTTTGTGAGTTCTTGCATAAGCCAATGTCAGCTTGGCAGTGTAGGTGTTTCAAAAGGGCCTGTTGATACATTTTCACAATATAGGGCAGCAAGCGGCAACTTCCTGAGATGCTGATACTCAGTTTTTGTTTTTAAATGTCATTTAGCATACCTGTCTATTTTATAAGCTACCGGGCAGCAAGAGTGACTCTTTCATGTGTGTTTTTCTTCATGACCCAATGTGTAGCAAGCTGTTTTCATTCAGCTGGCCAGTGTAAGTTATGCACAGGAACTCCTGCACTTCTGTCCCTTTGTCACTTCCTCAGTTCTCATTACCAGCCACCGCGCACGCAGACCAGGGTGGCATAGTGGTTACAGTGTTGGACTAGGACCTTGGAGAGCAGGGTTCAAATCCCCGCTCTCCCTTGAAGCTCGCTGGGTGACCTTGGGCCAGTCACCAACTCTCAGTCTAACTTATCTCACAGGGTTGCTGAGAAAATAAAAGGCAGAGGGGAAGAAGTGTGCACAACACTTTGAGCTACTGGGAGAGAAAGGTGAGATATAAATATGAAAATGTAGGTAATTTCCTGACATTTAGTTTCAGGGCAGTTTTTTTTTTAAAAAAAGGGTCACTGTATCCGCATTCTAGCTGGCTGAAGCTGGCAGTGTTTTGGACATGGTAGCTTGTCCATCTCTTCACTCTACACTCTCCCCACCCCCTCCATTTAGGATTCCTTTTTCAGTAATTAGTTTTTCTCTCTTTTCTCTCAATAAAAATAAAATAAAATATCTTCCTCTGACACAAACACACACAGACACACAGTTCAAAATTACCAACAGAATTGGTTCATTTCCCCCCTTCATTGTTAAATACATAAATAAATAAAAATAAAACAGATCTTTTTGAGTTATGGTGTTGCCCATGCATTTGTCTGTCTGTCGCATACAGTATTCTGAAATGGCTATTGCTCCTCGTTTCCCATCAAAGGTTCAGGGAGGCAGCAGATGGTTTATGGATAGGGCCAGTGCTATTGCTCTGAGCTGCTCCTGGCAAACTGAAGAGAAACTCTCGGCTGGTTGGCCTCAATTTCTGCAGGGATCATGCTCCATTAAAGTTAAGTGCAATTCACCACCAGGAAAGACAGAGAGCTTTCGTTTATAGGACAGAAGGAGTTGCCATTTAAACAAAGCTGCAATAAGATCAGAGCAGCAAGCCTGAAGGAAACCTAGGGTTGGAACTTGAGGCTGGGAGACCAAATTAAACCTTCTCACACATGAGCACAAAGCCCCTGGTGCCGGATTAAACCCTGTGGAGGCCCCATGGCAGTCAAAACCTTGTTTGCACTCAAGTGGGATAACATTGAAATAAGAAAGCTTGATTGTAATTTTCTTTCAAGGTCAAATCAATATTATTTTGATCCGTTGTTGCGGGGCCCCTAAAAGGCCCATTGGCCAGTGCCGACTCTGCCTATTTGGTAATTTGGTGCTGAAAGCCCCTAAGAAGGCAGGATTATTACCCATCTTTTCACCTCTTATGAAATCTGTTGGCATAACTCCATTTTTTGAAGAGACAAGCCTCAGGGGGAAAATGTGTTCATGTGGATATAGGATTTTATACATATAGCGGTTTTGTTGTCCATATGAGCTATTTCCAATAGTTCAGCTACTCATGCTGTTTGTTCATTGGTACTTAAATCAAACGACTGGTTTTAGTGTTTAATCAGTATACAGGACACAGATTGACTTGGGAAACAATCTCCTTCCCATTCAGGTACTCTACTTAGAAACTTGGTATATTAATCTCTTGAGTTGTTCTTCTATTATAAAAAAAAGTTTGTGAGTTGGAACTTCCAAAAGCTAAGAAGATGATTTTTTCCTAAGAAATGCAGCACTGATCAGGAAAGTATATTGGCAGCAGTACATCTCTGTCCACTTGCTGCTACTTATTTACATATCAGATTTGCACCATTTAAAGGAAATCATGAGATTTCTTATTTGTATTAGCCTGTCACCTTTTTTGTGACTCAAATTTTTTTTTTGAGGGTGAAAGAAACCTGCATGTACAATTGCATATTAAAGTCTAAGGAACATAGATTACACATTTACACTCACATTGGTGTGGTGGTGGTGTATAGAGATTAGGAACTGAGAGCATAAATCAGATGTTGGTCTGAATGCGGAAAACACCTGTCCTCACTGCATTATTTATTGATTGTTTATACTTATAGGCATTCTTGACCAAGTGGTGCTCAGGTGGGTTACAAAAATATTACAATTACTTTAAATGTGAGCATTTGGATGTGGAAGGGATTCCTATTCAAGCACTCACTGGAATGTATATCATGCAATGTGTAGCTGATTCGATTCCTGGCTTTTGGATGCACGTTCAAGTTGCAGTTCCTGATACTCAAGGGAGGCTGCTTCCACATGCAGATCTCTTTCTCTGAATTTGGATGTTGATATCTAGAGCATGATGAATATGACAGTATCTTTTTCGAAACTCTGGTAACACTCTATTCCACGGTGAAATTAAAGCAAAAACTGGAAAGCTGAAGCAGTCACTGCAGGATGCAGACGTCTGTATTTATCTGGTCACTTCCAGATTGCCTGTCTATTGAACATTAATTATGCTTCATTTGCAGGGAAGTTGTATGATGTCTTATCAAGCACTTGCCATGCCACATTTTCTAGTACATTTTCCTTCCACTTCCCTTACTGAAAAAAGTCGTGATTTTTATTTTCTTTTGGGAAGTGCATTTGTTGCACAAGAGCTGCAAATCCACTTTAACTGCACAGCATGAATTTGCCATTGTGCTATTGAATCCCAGTTGCAAAATAACAAATCTGCAAGCACCCTTTATCATTACTTACATTGCATATAATCCATCAATGCAAAAAAAGGACTTGTTTTTAAAAAACCTGCCCATTCCATTACAAATTAGGGTTGATATTTAGTATCTAAAGAGGCAGTGGAGTTCAGAATAAGCTGTGTGAACTGACAAGTACCTGGTCCAAATTCTACCACATGAATGTAGAGGACCTTAACCAATCCACTCTCAAGCTCAATCTACTCCATCTTCAATAAGGTGGTGATAATACTGAGATACTGTATAGGGTTGTTTTAAAGATTACTGAGAGGCAAGGTATGCTGAATGTTCTGAGCACTCAAAAAAGAATATAAATGCTACCTATTAATTTACAAAATGTAGTAGGTGTTATCATCACAGCTTCTCATAACTGATTTGAGTCAAAAAGTTCCAGTGCATGTTCTGTAAATGGCACTGAATTATACAATACAAAGAAATCATCATAAACAACAACTGTTCTTTTCACTGGAAATTGTTCGTGAGTATATTGTTATTGTTGTTGCTACCATTGTTGTTAGTCCATCCATCCATGTTTGCTTTTATGTAGATTTTGGCCTAGTGTAATTAGGTGGGTTCACCTACTTCATACCATTTAGGAGGCACAGATTGAGGGCAAAAAACAAAGATGCACTTTGTTTCTAATAGTTATTCTTTATTTTATTTTATTTATTTATTATTAATATTTACTAAATTTGTACACCACCCTTGATCCATAGATCACAGGGTGCTTCACAAGGTAGATCCTACAAAACTGAATTCTAGCCACCCCTGGTTTACCCATTACTTTGGAGAATTGCAGTAAGATTTTCATGGCTTCTATCTCATGAGATCTTTTGGAGATGTAGAGGAAGGTGTCATAGTATTTCTGCCTGTTTTCTGAGAGTGCTCTTCTTTGAACATAAGATTAATACTGCTGGGATGGCCTACGGTCCCTGCAGTCTAGCAATGTCTTCTCAACAAGTGTCCAGCTAAATGTCTCTGGAAGCTTAGAAGGAGGGCAAGAAAGCAACAGTTCTCTCACATTGTTTGTCCTTGGCTTTAGGTTTCCTTTATCTGTCACGCTTGCTGGCTATTGACAGAAGTACCCTTCATGAATTTAAAGCCATCTAAGCTAGTGGTCATTGCTACATCCTGTGGTAGTGAATTTCATAAATTAATTATGTATTGTGGGAAATAGCATTTCCTTTGTCCATTCTGAACCTGCTGCCGATCAATTTCATTGTGTAATCTGAGTTCAAGTATTATGAGAGAGGGAGAGAGAAATTCTCAGTCCACTCTTGGCCTTCCATTCATAATTTTATAAAAACTTAAACCATGTCCTCTTTAGTCATCATCCCTAAAGGTAAAGGTACCCCTGCCCATACGGGCCAGTCTTGACAGACTCTAGGGTTGTGCGCTCATCTCACTCTAGAGGCCGGGAGCTAGCGCTGTCCGCAGACACTTCCAGGTCACGTGGCCAGCGTGACAAAGCTGCTCTGGCGAGCCAGCGCAGCACACGGAAACGCCGTTTACCTTCCCGCTAGTAAGCGGTCCCTATTTATCTGCTTGCACCCGGGGGTGCTTTCGAACTGCTAGGTTGGCAGGCGCTGGGACCGAGCAACGGGAGCGCACCCCGTCGTGGGGATTCGAACCGCCGACCATGCGATCGGCAAGTCCTAGGCGCTGAGGTTTTACCCACAGCACCACTCACGTCCCAAGTCATCATCCCTAGACTTCAATAATAATATTGATAATTTTATTATTTATACCCTGCCCATCCGGCTGGGATTCCCCAGCCTAGCCACTCTGGGCGGCTTACAACATATCTTAAAACATAATAAAAACATCAATCCTTAAAAACCTCCCTAAACATGGCTGCCTTCAGATGTCTTCTAAAAATTGTTTACTTCCTTGACATTTGAAGAGAGGGCATTCCACAGGGAGGGCACCAAGCTTTGGCCTCACCTCAGGTAGGTGATCCACCTCTTGGTGGTTTTGTTGCCTTTTCAGTACTTTCCCCAGTGCTACAATGCTCCTTTAGAGATGGGTGACAATATACAACTGCACTAATCCCACCTCCATGACCTGTTCAGCAGGCAGATAGTCATATGTGAGACTCTGAGGGGGGGAAATGTTTTGGAATTCTTTAGTATGGTTGAGGAAGTTATTTCTTGCTTGCTGCTTAACATCCATTTAGCTGCACATCTTGAGGCCTAAACTCAGATGGGATGTCTAGAGTGTCTGGGCTTAGCAAAAATGGCCTGCATTGTCCTGGTCCTTCATTGCCTTATGAAGCATCTGAGCATGACTATTAATTCTATATAGTCTCCCATGTGACTAGTTGGTATTTAGGATTCTTACAAGTATTAGCTCTGGCATAGTATATACAATAGTTTTTCAGTATAGTATTATGGTTTATTGGGTGATTCTGAGAAAAGCAAAGCACAAACCAGTCATTAATTATCTTGGTGTGTAGTTCTGTGATTGCATAGAGAGGATGTTGCTGTTTGGTTGAAAGTTCTCTGTGGTGTGCAGAGGTGTGTGTCATAGCATAGGTGGGGAGGTATACTTGTGTGCTTGCAGTTGATCGGCATAGTTGTGTATTGTGTGAGTACTTGTGATTGCAGGGTGGTTATGTGGTGCCCACAACAGATTGAGCTTCAGAAAGTCCCAGTGGGCTCAAAAGTGTTGGTAACCACAGCTGCAGTCAAACAATATCTGAAGGTCACCATGTTAACTACTGCAGTGTTAAAGTCATTTCACATGTTATGGCAAGGAGTTGTTCTCCATCATCCTGCTGATATATGTAGTGTATTCTGCAGCTACCAGCCTCTAATTTTGCTGGCTAGAGTTGCTAGACTATTTAGGCTCAATTTAAAGATTGAATGCCTTTATTTGGAATTAACAGCAAACCATCAAATTATGTTTACCCTCTTCCTGCCCATATAGTATATGACAAATTTTTTTTGTTTAATTTGCACTGTGCAGAAAGGCAATTTAGGAATATTGTGTTGTGCATCACGATTAGATTTTGAAAATGGGTTCTTTTGCTTTTGTCAGTTTTTTTTCTAAATACACTTTACAGTTCACACACAATAAATCTTTGCATCAAGGTATCCATCCTTTTTAGTGCATCCTATAGCGTTGCAGCATTTTATAGATGCTTTCAGCTGGCATGCTGAAGCTTGCCTTTTACAATACTAGCTGGGTGAAGTGATGTGCTTTGGCTTCCTGCTGCTTTCATCTTCATATTTGTCACAGGCTGTATTGGATTTCGACATTTTCTCTGCTTATTTGCTTGTTCTGTTTTAGAGTCAGAACTTGTTATAGTTGAAATTGTTATTTCACTGTTATGCTTCCCATATCCATACATACTGGAATGAGCTTGATGTTGCCATGGTGAAAGAAAATGTGTGATCTAGTCAGGTGTTCCAAGAGCAATCCACAATCCAGTAAAGCCAATGTGATTGGGATTAAGCCCCATTTCATTACAACTTTCTACAGACAGCAAATTCAGCAGGTAAAGCTCCAATGGTGAGGCTGACTGGATTCTACTGCCAGCTATTCACGTCTCTTTTTGTATCCTCCCTCCCCCCCCCCCTGAAAACTCAAAACAAAATACAGTGGTACCTCAGAAGTTGAATGGAATCCGTTCTGGAAGTCCATTCGACTTCCAAAACGTTCAGAAACCAATGCGCGGCTTCTGGTTGGCTACAGGAAGTTCCTGCAGCCAATTGGAAGCTGTGTCAGATGTTTGGGTTCCAAAGAACGTTTGCAAACCAGAACACTCACTTCTGGGTTTGCGGCGTTCGGGAGCCAAAACGTTCAACTCGCAAGGTGTTCACAAACCAAGGTACGACTGTACCCATCAGAGTACAAAAAGAATTCAAAACAGAGTCAAGATCTTAAACATTTTAACAGATGGGACATCCATGCCCAGAAGCTATTCACATCCTTATGAGGTTACTTCAGCACCAGCGTCAAACCCTGGGGTGTGAGTTGTTTCATTGTATGGATCTTTGCAACTGAGAGGTATAGTGAGGTGTGAATCAGAGAAGAGTCAGTACTGATGATAGCTATGTTTTTGACCCAGTGTGTCCTTGACTTAGAGGAACAGTTAGTTTTGGATTGGAAAATAAATTCATCTCCCTACTCAGTTATGTGGCAGCCCTAAACATGCATATTAGGGAGGAATCTCAGTGAGCACATTGAGGCTTACTTCAGAGTGAGCATGCATTGGAATATGCTGTACTCTCCAGATGCTTTGAACCACAACTTCCACCAGCCTCCACCAGCATGGAGAGCAACATCTGGAGGACACCGGATTAGGGAAGTCTGTGTTAGAGAATTTACAGAACGTCTGAAATTTCAGAATTACACAGGGTTCATTCTCTGCTTTCTGCCTGCTTCTAGCCCAGCTGGACACCACTCCAGCTATTGTCCTTCTTGCTGCCAGCCAGTGAGGGAGAGGGACCATCTATTTGCTCTCAGGCTCAGAGCAACATCCTTTGTCAAACTATGGACCATACTTAGGCCCAAGAAGCTGGCTTGGCTACTTCAACAATTGAATCCTCCAAACTAACAGCAATATATATTATTAATACACAAATTTAATAAAGGGGAATGTCTGATCAAATAATGTAAAGTTCAATATTTCCAAATGGAAAATTCAATTCATAGAATCATAGAACTGTAAACAGAGGCGGTTTTAGGGTAGTGGTTCAGCTGCACTGGGCACCACAACAATGCTGTAGAATGAAGCGTGAGAGGTGGTGGGCGTCAAATTTTAACGTTGCACAAGGTACAGTTGTACCTCTGGTTACGAACTTAATTTGTTCTGGAGGTCCGTTCATAACCTGAAACTGTTCTTAACCTGAGGTACTGCTTTAGCTAATGGGGCCTCCTGCTGCCGCCACTGCGCGATTTCTGTTCTCATCCTGAGGTAAAGTTCTTAACCTGAGGTACTGCTTCCAGGTTGCAGAGTCTGTAACCTGAAGTGTTTGTAACCCGAGGTGTTTGTAACCTGAGGTACCACTGTACTGCTGAAATTTGAGAGTCCCAAGTCCAGCACTGTTGTAGAGTTGGAAGAGACCCAATGGATAATCTAGTCCAACTCACTGCAATGTAGAAATCGTAGCTAAAGAACCCCTGACAGAGGTTTTCATTAAGCAGGAGCTCCATCTTCCTTGTGCAATTGTTTTGGAAGCAACATACAGAATATTTGAGCAAACAGAAAAACAGATTTAATGTTACAAAGATCATAAAATGCCTTGGATTCCCAGAGATAGTTTAGTATAGAATCGTTAATAGATTTATACTATTTAAAGCAAATAAATTTACATCTGTGTTAGTTTAGTTGAGTCTACCCAGGAGAAAACTGGCTTACACCCAACTCCTCTGGCTTTTCATTTAAGGATTGTGTTGCTGTTAAGGGTCAAACTAGGCATGATATGATTGTACTAATGCATGTTTTCTCTTGTGTAAATTGCAGCCAAAAATGCAATGGATGGTTTTGTTATGTCAACAGTAACTATGGGGAAGAGAAGTTTAACTCTCACTCCCGGCCAAAAATCTCCTCTCTGAGGCTGTTATTTGTGGGGATGAGTGTAGGTAGCTGAAGGTCTGTTTCTTTATGGGGAGGAGGGCATCAGCAGCATGCTGTGGGTGTTACAATTCAGTAAATGCATTCTCAAACTGACTTTCCCTGCGCTGCAAAGCAAAAGTAATTATTCCAGGCAGCTTTAGTGTTTGCAACCGTTGTTTCTTTCCCACCCATCTTCACTGGAGTCACTACTAAACTATTGCAAACTCCGCCAATCTCTTCAATTTCTTTAGAAGGAAGAGAGCATTGTCAAGGTCGTCACCTGGAAACACAAATATCAATAAGACTTGACGCTCAGAAGAGAGATGTGGACTTTTCAGAAATACTTAATGCAATACAAGAAAGTAAGTTACTCTGTGGGGCTCAGATTCTTAACATTGTAGAAATGTTAATGGAAATGAATATATACTTGATTAGTTGAAAGGGGGAGGTGGGAAAGGAACAACAACGCATACAAGTGTGATTCAGATAAGGTGGCTTAATGAAAATCATTGTATTAAGCGGTGGATTCAGATCTACAGAGTTCAGTGTAAAAGGACTAATGAAGAAATTTTCAGTAAATCTTTATTAGCTTTTATTTATTTCTTAGTGGGATCTGCATGCAGAACAGGTAGAAACATTCTTTGGAATATTTATGTACTGCTTTTCAACAAAAGAAAATGGTTCTCAAAGATTTCACGTAGAAAAGGGTTGCTTCCAAACATGTGTTGGGCTTTCACATGTAGAATTTCCACCCTTCAGCAAAGGTACGGAGTCTCACAATGTGTCTGATTGCCTACAGAGGATCTCACTTGGAGAGCAATACATGCCTGGAAGCACCTGCCTCCTCCCGCCAACCACATATGAGAACAGATTTGATAATGTCTAGTGCCAGGAGGAGAGGGCTGCTCCACTGTTGAACAGCTCTTACAGCCAGGGGCTTAATATAGCAAATGAATCATTCAGGTATCACAAATGGGGCATTGACAGCAAGTTATTTTCCATGGAAAGTAAATCCTTAATAAATTGGGGGGGGGAGAATATGGATGGGGAATGTCTTGTTTATGCTGAGAAGAGCTTGCATGCATGACGAGCAAATAATCCCAATAAACACCAATCTGGAAGCATCTGAGCCTTGAAGAAGGTAGAAGGAATGGTTGTTAACAAGTTGTCTTCTGTGATGGATTGCAGAGGTGAAATTACACACATTTATGACGGAAAAAAGGCTCTGAAAACAAATAAAGAGAAGCGCTTCTCAGGATTTCTGACCAGATCATTTGTTCAAAAACTTTTACATTTTTTAATGTGATTTCCCCAGGAAAACTGTGCACATAGAGGGAGTTTTTTTCAATGTTGGGGTGCATACACTGTTCCATGTGCACTGATACTCATATATTTTTATGAGAAGGCCACCATGCTTGCTTACCTAACTATACAGCGGGGAGGAGGCACCTGTGGCATCTTGGCTGAATGTGACCATTAGCCTAATTTCATGAGTGTGCCAAGGAAGGGGTGGCAGAAAGAGAGAGAAAATGGGGTACTTTGCCCCCAACATAGTGTATCTTGAAAGAGAATGCAGCTTTGCAGAAAAATGGTTTCCCAGCCCTGCTATTGCATAGAGAGTTGTGCACTTTAAGTAGCACTAAAAATAAGACATTCTCATGCCTACGTTTTTCTCAATTGTAAAAAGTTCTCAACTGCGTCTTACTCTTTCTTTCTTTTCCCAAGTGACCCACCCTTTGTAATTAGATATTTAACCAAATGTGAGCAACAAATAGGAAATATTTATAAGAAAAGAGCAAAAAGTGAGCTGGTCTATTGGTTGTTGAAACATGTTGCATTTTTATATTACGTACTACTAGACATTTAGAAAGCCTGGCATTGTTTTTCAGACTAGTTAGAATTTTAAAACCAAAATATTAGTTCAGAAAGCCATAATTATTTCACTCCAGTTCTCAAGACAGGTTTAAAGGTGTGTTGGTATGTGACAGGCATAGGTATCCCTGGTGTTAATAGAGTTTACCACTGTTTCACAATTCAAAGGTTTCTTTTTGTGTTTAGTTTTAACTTTACAGGTGTAGTTCCTAAAAGTCTGGTTCAAAATATTTCTTATTAGATGTGATGTGTTCCTATTCTATATGCATTTCATTTTGATATTGTTTATTTTGATAGATATTTTGAACAAAATGTTAATGGTTTAGATTGCTGTTGTTTTTCAATTGTTTACCTTAGTTTTGTAAGACGCACTGTCCTTTTACTGTATAATGTTTATGGGTAGCTGGTTTACTGTAATCACGTGTTTTTGTTTTGCTTTGTACATGAGCTGCCTTGGGAAGCCCTAAAAAGTGGCATGGAGACATTTTTAATACATTTGTCTGGAAAGAGCCAGCCAAATAATCTAATTTACCAAAGCAGCTCACATTAATTAAAAGTGAACACACAGTGCTTAAAATAACACTTTGTTTACAAATGAAAAGTCACATAAAGAAGAAGCAATGAAACATTTCACTCCTTTGAACAAAAATTCTCCATTTTGGTCCTTGGCTTTCCAGGCTGTGTAGTGTGATGGCACACATGGCAATAAGTTCAACAAGGCTGCTGAGAACTAGTCAGTATTCAGAGTTATTTATTAGTTTAGGAATTCCAAGGAACAAGAGGAATTTATTTATTTGCAGCTGCTCCAAACTGCAAAAACAGATTTTTGTGTTATGTACACAACTTCCAGATAAGTATGCATAGTATTGAGCAGCAAATTCAAATGTGCTCTCCTTCATAGGGTTGTAGCCTTTATGTGTCAAAATAAAAGTGGCATAGCAAGTGTACACCCCTAAAAAAAAGTAGGCACAAAATGCTTACATTTGTGGTCCCTACTTGTTACTTAGAAACCACATTTTTCATGCTGCTTTTTTTAAAACATGGATTTGTTTCCCTATTCTTGCATTATATTATCTCACAATCTTAACTTTAGCATTGTTAGATGTTGAACAATAAAAACCATGGCAAGCCAGCAGCCATTGCATTTCCCCCCTTAATCTTGGTGAAAAACAGATTTCTTTTTAACATGTTATTCTGTTGAACTTTTGACTGCCATCCTCTCTAGAATGAAAACTAAGCAACGAAAGATCACACAAATGATACCAGAAGCTATTTCAAACATTTCCCATTAGTACTTGTGCCCTTGTGAACTCTAGCTCATGTAATAGTGTGTCTGTCTATTATAATGAAAAGGGTTTAACAATATTCTGCATTCAACTTGAACGTTACATTTTCCCAGTAAGCACCGTTTGCATGAACCTGTTTAAAATGCAGTCTTACAGAATGCAGCCACCAAAAACCATACCAAGTCCTCAAAAACCATAGCCAGAGTCCTGTCTGTGGATACGGTGAGTGATGTATCCACACACAGAACAGTTGGTGTGGGAACCAACCTGAGTGGTGGCAGCCCTGGACTTAATCAAGATTGGGTCCTGTACTTTGTAACTTGTTCATAAATGAACAAGAATGAGCAGTGAGGTAGCCAAGTTTGCTGATGATACTAAATTGCTCAAAGCTGTTAAAACAAAAAGAATCATAGAATTGTAAAGTTGGAAGGGACCCTGAGGATCATCTAGTCCAACCCCCTGAGACTGTGAAGAGCTTGAAAAGGACCTCTCCAAACTGAGCAGAATGGGTGCTTCCCCATTTTCCCACTCCTACCTCCTGAATTACTTATAGCAGTGTATTCATAATTAAACATTCTCTCTTGATCTTCCCAGTGCCTTACTCAGATATTATTAGTATCAAAACTGAATTTAGCATTCTGGTGCATAGAGTCAGTGCTGTAGAATGGGTGGCTTAATTACAACTAATGGCACAGGTGAATTTCCAGAAAAGAAGACCACAACATTAAAATAATCCAAGTAAAAAAAGTAAAAGTATGCCATCTCCTTTTAAAGTTCTTTTTTTCTGAAAAAATATATATAATCAAATATTCTTTTTTAAAAAATGTTGAAAGGTTAGCTATGCTTTCTGTTGAAATTGGCACACCAGGGTGCAAACGGATATGGATTCTGTGCTACAACCTTTTTAATGTTTCTGGACATTCTTAGAAGATAAGGTGGAGTGAGGAAGAGAAGAGATGTGTTGCTGACTCACTCACTGTGTGTAAGATGTCACACTGTGAGGATAGTCATTGGCAGTCTGGTGAATGAACCACCCAGACTAAATGCTTACCTGACGTTGGTGGGTGTATTTTCAGCAGCCTCTGAATAAAAGGGAACAGATTTGGTAATGGAATTCTTCCTAAAAATCTGTAGGGAGGGAAAGGGATGCTGTGCGCTTCACATCAGTTTTGTGCTTCTCCTGTGCAGTGCGTCCAAATGCACATATGTAAAAGTTGGATTTATGAGATTATAAAACGGCAATGAGAAGCTTTTGCTGGAACAAGCTGGAACACAGCCTATTTGCTCATTCAAAATGTGTGTAGTAATTGCACTGCTTTTGACTGTATGCAGTATTCTAATTGTATGTGTGACATTTGTCGGTCTCCATGTAAACTGAAATACGATGGCATATTTGAAAATAGTAGGAAAATCCATTTAACAAATAAATTAAAAAATAACTGGGAGCGGGGGGATCTCATCAGATGCAATAAGTAGAAAGCAATCTTCCAGTTAGTTGTGAGCTGTATAGAGGCACTTGCCCCATGACTGAAGATGTACTGTGCTTGTGGCAGTGAAATTTTGAACCTGATTGGCTGTGCTGCTGTGAAGGGGCGGAGTCTTTTTTCTGGACGTTCCACGCTGAGGGGAAAAACAATAAGGGAAGAGCGAGTTCAACGTTTTTCATTTCAAACAAGAATTAAAACCTTCCACAACTTTAATGATGAAGACTCCTAAAGTCCAGGCTTCCAATGAAAAGGCAGAGGTGCAAGTACATCCCTGGGTTGGGTGCATGGGATGTAGACTGCTGCCTCTCTCCTGCTGCTGGCTGCCATTTTTATTTCCCTGTAAAGACCTGGAATGACACTTTGTATATTGTATTGAATAGATAATGGAAAACCTATAAATCTTCCAAGTACTACGTATGACTTTGCTCTGGATTTGTTTTCCCCAGCCTTTCTTTCTTTCTTTTTTAAAGGAAAAATATAAACATACTGAGATTTGACTTTTTATACAGAGCAAACAGGGATGTTTTTAAAAAAGCTGTATGACACAAGTGTTAGATGCTATTTGGAGTCATGTTTTGCCATTTTTAAAGCAGGGCTTTCTCTCGAAAACTTTGATGTATAAATTTGGGTGGAATTCCATCCAGAGGTTACAAATCTACAAGATTCAACTGAGGGCTGGAAACACTTTGTGGATTAAGTGAGGGAGACATACACACCTGTCACCACTGCCATGAAGCTGCTGTGGTCATTCAGTACCACCTTTGACCTGTTGGCTACATTATATCATTGTTTTGGATTTACTTATTAGCACTATGAAACAGATAATTTGTGACATGCAAATTATTTATGTTGACTTTGATGTCTGAAACATACACAAAGTTGAGATCTTATTTCATGTTTGTGAGCAAAGCCAGTATTACTTTCAACGTTAATGTATTATTTTTTATTATTGCTTTTTAGTAGCCAAGGATGTCAATATTTTCTTTGATGAATTAGAAGGCATAGCCAGCCCTTCCAAGGACGATGAATCTTTGCTTCACCATGGTAATTTGACCAGTACTTCAGAGGATACTAGCAGATTTGAGGCAGTGGGAGAGGTAAGAAGCTTTATATGTCTCATTTATTTGTGGGTTTCCATTGCTGAAATTCAGGTCGTCTCTGATTTTACAAAGGTTTGCTGGGCAAATAGTTTAAAATGACTTCGCAGACCCACCCAGTCATAAAGTTAACACTAAAATCAAAGTTAACCATGATTTCATTAATCTGCAGACAATGGAAGAGAGGTTCCAGACATTATTCTTGACTATTTGAAATAAAGCAAGCAGATTTATTTATCTCTTATATCTAACATACATTGTGCATGAAGGTGAAAACATCATTTTTTTTCAAATGGACTTGTAGAAAATAATTATAAGTAAATTATGCTCATTGGCATATAGATTTGTCAGTATTTGAGATATGACACTGCTTCCCTTTTCTCCTTTCTTTATCGGGTTTGCAGCCTGCCTAAAACGTCCCCTAAATGTGCCAATATTTGTTAGTTGGCTTGTTTGTTTGAGAACTGTTGTGGTCACCCCATTGATTGCCAGGGTTGATTTGGCTGACCTGGCTGGCTAGGCGGGTGTCCCCTTCCTCCCTCACCGCTCCATGTGCGTCCCTCCCGAAGCTGCGTGCTCGGTGGAAGAGGACGGCTATCCCAGATAGAAGGAGTGTACCGTTCTTCGGTCAAGGGTATACGATAGCTGCGCTCCCCTGCTAGAGCCTCCAAGCTCTCTCTCAGCCTACCTCATAAGATTGTTGTAGAGGAAAGAACTATGCATGCCATTCTTGTGGAAGGGCATATTATAAATATTATATTTATTCTATCCTGCCTTTCTGTCCTGCACAGTAGGTAGGTAGCAAACAAAATTAAAAACATAACAGTGCTAATAATTAAAAAGTAATAACATTCAGGTAACAGCAGAAATAAATTTAAGTTGCTATTTATTCCAAAAGCATGGGTATCTAAATATCAATGGGTCACATGAGTCTCCTGAGGCAGGGAGTTCCACAGTTGAGTTCTGCAACTGATGGGACCCTGTCCTGCACACCTACCTGCTGAGCTTCTGCCATGGATGAGATCTGGCAGACTGGTTCATATGGGAGATTCTGATGAGGTGTGATTCATCTAGCTGTATGATGCAATGTTACTCTGATAACTGTAGTGATTATCATGTAATAGTTTTATATATCAGACCTTTATATTGAAATCCTTTTGCTTGCGTGAATAGTGTTAAATCAAATACTAATATAAAGAATGGAACAAATGATCTGATTTTTCTTCGCAGGGAGTACCAGAAAAAAATAAAACCAGTGGACTGTATTTTAGGGATGGAAAATGTCGGATTGACTACCTCTTGGTATACAGAAAATCCAACCCACAGAATGAGAAAAGAGAAGTTTTTGAAAGAAATATCAGAGCAGAAGGACTTCAAATGGAGAAAGAGGTAAGAAGGATTCCCTAAGGAACATTTTCAAAATTCAAATCTGCTTGTAAACTTTATGCAAACAAGGATAATTCCAATGCAATTAATGATTTAACACATTTGATCCATGACCCTTTCATTTTTTTGTAGTTATACTAATCAGCTTGGCATGTCAGCTCTAAACATTTCAGTTGCCAGACCTGCTCCCACTATTCCTGACTATTGGCCAGGCTTGCTGGGGCTGATGGGACTTGTGATCCAAAACATCTGGAAGAAATCAGGTTGGGGGTGGCTGACTTAGGACACAATGGAGTTGTAAGAAACTTGCAAAGCCTTAAGCACTTTGCACAGGTCATTCTTGCACAGGTCAACCTGCCACAATACATTTCTCTCTCTATTTGCTTAGCTATATACTTTCTTTCTTAAAGTATATATGACAAACTCAGCATGTAAAAATTACTCCATTGTTTCATACTGTGAACACTCATGAATTCTACTGCTTGCTGCCAAAGACTGTATTTTGATGGTTTTTCTTTAGCTGCGTAGCCCATAATTCTAATATACATTTATTGCATAGAATCAAAGGGAAAGTTTTACAGTATTGTTTCTCAGTTTTTACAACCCAGAGTCTTCACTACTGAAATATGCATTGTTAAACAATTCCACTTGAAGACTATTGGAACAGGCTTTTGTGCCTGCAAGTTATAATGAAATAATACTTCTATGCAGTATTGACTGCAATGATAGAAGAAAGTTAAAAGCATTACTGTTTCCGAAGCTAGGGTGCATTTTTTCTTGGAACGGTCCTTTCTCAAGCTAATGTTCTTCTATAGTGCAACATATACATCTCAAACAAAACTCGTGACATTTCATTATTCACTTCCTTTCATTTTATTGTCTCACTGATACCCAGCTTTATTTCTCATTTATTCCATTTGATTTGGTGTGTGACTTCTTTTGTAGTTTGGCATCGCTCAACATTTCTAAACTTCAGGATGATCAAAATGAGGTTTTGTTGTTTTGATGTGGATTTTAAGCGCAGGTGTGGATCTCAGCAAAACACTGTTATCTGTGTGTAAGTAAGTCTGTTGGCTAGAAGAAGAAGAAAAAGGGATTTCCACTGGAAAGTAACCTTTGAGCTCTGTTAGGGTGTCAGGTTCTCTAATGCACTAATAGATCTGATTTTATTTTTTTATTTACTTATTCGTTTAATTAGATATTTGTAGATTGGACTTTTCAGTAAAATACAGCAAGGCAGCATTCAATATACAGAATTACAGTAACTTTGCTAACAGCAACAGTTATAAGCATCAAAGCATATTAAAGGCAGGCACATGAGAATGCCTTCAGAGCTAATGTTAAAAGATGTCCAGGTTCAGATAGGTGTAGATACTTGTCCAAATGACCAGTATCCAAACCATTTAGCATAGGATAGTCTTCAAACTTTTGCAATCTGAGAATCACCTTTAAGCCAAACATGTTTGAGTACTCATTTCTTACTCGCTTTTTGAAAAACCATATATTTATATGTTGGTAATACTGCTGTTGCACCCCACCTTAGATCATACTGTTTCAAAAGCCAAAACCAGCTGTTTGGACTGTGCCCAGAAATGTAATATGATCTGATTGTCCAGCAGCCCCAATAAGGAGTCTAGTGGAGAATTTCTCAGGCAGCCATGTTCTGTACCACCTCTACTTTCCTCCTTACTCAGCGCTGCTAGAATGTTTTGAAGAAACTCAGCGATGTAGAGGCACTATTGAAGTGCAGGAACTGAACACAAGAGTCCCAAAAGTCACACTCCCAAGCAAGAGTCCAAAAAGTTAACCAATCTATTTTGCACACATGCAGATACACAGAGTACATAGCAAAATAACCTATGTATTAGGATGAGCTGGCAGTCATAGAATAGTGCAAGTAGATAAATAGGTACTGCTGTGGCGGGAAGGTAAACAGTGTTTCTGTGCAATCTGGCACTCATCACAGTCCTCCGTTGCGCCAGAAGCGGTTTAGTCGTGACCTGGAAAGCTGTCTCCTGGCTCCCTCGGCCTGAAAAGTGAGAGGAGCGCCACACCGCATAGTCGCCTTTGACTGGACTTAATCGTCCTTTTACCTTACCATAGAATAGTGTTTGGTATCATTCTCTACTAGGTGTGGGAAACCTTTAGCACTCTAGATGCTTCTAAACTACAGCTTGCATCATCCCTGGCCCTTGACCATGCTTTCTGGAGCTGATGGGAGTTGTAGTTCTGCAACATCTGGAAGCCAGATGCTCTACGCTGCAAACATAGTAAACTTAGAAGTTTTGTTATTGCCTCATTCACTTGCAAGGTCTATCCTGGCACTTTGGCAGATGATGGCATGACTCCTGCTCTGGAAAAAAAGTTCTCAAGCCGCACTCTTATACTTTACCTCTCTACTACGCTACTGAGAATGCTTCAGGACAGTGCCAGTTCTGCCACAGCCATGCCACTATTTCCCAGGGTAGCTGCTTTGATTATAGCTGGAGTGAATTATTGGGAAAGGAAGTCATTTTCAGCCATATCCTTTTTTCATAATGTTTTGGCTTGCAAATAAAAAGATGATTTGCAAAATGTAGCCTGGGGGAAAAGATCAATATGAAATATGACTTAGACTAACTGGGAACAGTCCAGAGAATTAAGTGCACGTAAAAGCCTTTTTTCAGAGAGGCACTTACTGATCGGCTTTTAAAAGGTGATCATATGAGCACCTAAGTATAGAGTGGTCATTTGTTTAAACCTTTCCAGATAAATGGGCCCCAAAATAATGTAGAATCTCATTCATGGTTCCATACGGAAGTATCTTACTAACCCTAAGTAACCTTCCGGCATACATTTCCATATGATCCCCTTGAAGTCTATTGAAATTGATCCCTTTCTGTAGAACAGGTGCAGTGGCGTGGCTAAGGAAACTATGACTCAGGGAATCTCTGTTTCAAATTTCACCTCTGCCATGAACTCACTAGAAAAGTTACTCTCGCCAAACATAGTTTTTCCGTAATAGAGATAATAATACCCACTTGCCTTTTAGGATTGCTCATATTATAGCTAGTTAAGACATGTGAAGTACTACACATGACAATAAAAGAAAATTGCTGTAAATTGGTGAGTAGGTGGTATATGACACCTGTTAGAATACAGGGAAATTAATAAGGACTACTCATCAAGATGCTGGAAATGCAGAAAGAATTAGAGGATTTATATCGCTTGTTGTGGGAATGAAATATGGCAAAAGAAAAAGAAAGGAAGAAGATTATAATTAAAATATTAGGGTATGAAATTCCTTGTCAGTTCTTGTTGAACTATGGGAAGGAATCAGTAAGACCACAACATAAAGAATTAATTAATATATGATAACAGCTGCTAAGATTGCATGTGCTAAGAAGAGGAGCCAACCATGCATACTGTCTGTAACTGATATGAAAAACTGGTATGAAAAACTATGGAAATATGCTACTATGGCAAAATTGACTGATTTAAGGAGTAAGCAAGGTCAAAGGCCAGATTTATATATGAATAATTGGATAGATTCTATTCAGTGTGGTAGATGTAGAGAATATGTTTCTAAAATGTGTTATGGTTTTTTTGCTTTCTTGAGTTGTTAAAGTGCTGTTTGTTATATAAACTGCAAGTTGGTTAAAGGACATTTTATCCCAGTATATACTTGATTTCCCTAATAAGACCCAATGGTTCAACAGAATTTTTTATGTACTTTTGAATTGTATTTTGCTTTTTCTTCCCATGTTATGCTGAAAACTATAATAATGTTTAATCAAAAGGGGGGGAAAGAGTGAAGTACTTTGAAAACTTGAAGGCACTATGGCAGTGTTAAGTGTTGTTATTATTTTAGTTCAGTGAGATTAAAACACACTTAAATGATTTGTGGATTGCATCCGTTGTTTGTTGAGCAGGATGAATTAGATTACTTGCTATGAATATTGTTCATGCTTCTAACATGGTGAGCCTACCTTATACCAAGACAGATAATTGGTCCACCTAGGTCAGGACCATCTGCCTTGACTAGCAGTGGATTTCCAATGTATTCTAGTCTTGTTTGAAGATGCCAGGGATAGAATAGAGCCTATAGAATAATAGGGCGTATTACAGATGCATGCCTGTGGCCTGTTTAGCAGGGTTTTTAACCCACTTAGCATTTTCTTTCTGAACATTGTACTTCTGCTAACCTTGACATTCTGCCCAAGTATTGTGTGCGGATGGTATTCTTTTGGCTAGATAGGGCACCCAAAGAATAAATTTGCTATTAGTAGAACTCAGATCGTGCAGATGAATTGCTCAAAGAGAAATTTTACATTGCCAGGGCAGATTCTCAGAATGTATTTAAAAGCTAAAAACATAAAAGAGAAATTCACCTTAGCATGAATAGCAGGGAGCAAATAGTTTCAAATGAAATTTATTTCAGCTGAAAAATGAATAGATAATCCTGGAAGGATTTGAACAGTGCATGATTTTTAAATAAATATGAGATCTGGGATATGTTGCATATTTTGTGCTTATATGTTCCAGCCATTCTTTCAAAAGTCTTTTGGAAATCCATTCTTTTTCACTTAAGCTTTAGGCTTCAAAAAAATGATCAAGAGACGTACAGTTATGACTGCAGCTTACATCCATTTAACATGTGCGATTTCAATTTTACGTGGTTGGTTGAAATCACACAAATTTAATGCAAAGAAGGCAGAAGCTTGAAAGCTCTTTTGGGGCAGGGTTTTCCTGGTGTGGAACGAGCTTTTAAGCTCTCAGACTTATTTACTGGACTCCAGGAAACTCTTGCATGGGCTCTGGGAGGCTCTTGTGATAACTCAGGTGGCCTTGCGAGATCTCATGAGAATCTCCCAGAACCCGGTAAGCAATGCAGAGAGCTTATAAGGTATGATTGCTCAAGCGAGGGTAGTTCCAAGAGTATACACGTTTTGCATATACATGCCATTCCCACAACGTAACCCCAGTGGAAGATGCAATTGCATTGTATGTGTAAGTGGGGACAG